TGTTATATCATAACTATAAGGTCGTATATACCTTCTTTCCTCAATGTGTTTGGCACCTTTGTATAAATATTAAATGATTATAATAAATAATTGGGTAAATATGAGTTAATCTCTTCTTAGTTTGCACCATGCACACCACAGACTCGCTCTGAGCGGTTGTTGAATCACCGACTGTTTTCAGTTTGCCCAATCTTGAGATTGGTCAGCCAAACTAGGGAATCCGCAGTTTGGGCAGCACAATCGCTGCACAATCTCGAGATTGTGCAGATTCCAAGTTTGGGTACGACAGTAGTAAATAGGTACATTTCGTGTTTATTTAACTTTTTTTATTGAGACGTTCCAAGTGCCTGTGACCTACTGTACTGCCTTGAAAAACCTAAATAGTAAATTTACACTAGAAGTAGAAGTAGCTCTAGAATAGTATAGCCCTCCGCTCCGCCGCAGGCCTGCGGTGGAGCGGAGGGCTATACTATTCTAGAGCTAAAGTAGAAGTAGCTAGAATTTCTGGCCCAAGGATAGAGAACATGGGTCCCAATAAAACCAATGACAATGTGCCTAACCCTAACCCTAACCATAACCCTAACCTATTATATTGATATAATATTATATTTATATTGATGTAAATGACATTGGTTTTATTGGGGGGCCCTGTTCGGTTCTATCCTTGTTCTCTATCCTTGAACCGAACTTCTTGCATTGCTAATTTAATTACAATGTATAGGGTACCTACCTTAATTTGCAGTATTCTAGGTCTTACCTGTAACATAGCTATAGTAATATAGACCTTGTGCTGTGGTAATTAGTACTAGAGCTACTTGTAAGTTGTAAACTGTTAGAGATGACACATAAATTCGCAATGGCTGCCGCCCACAACACAAAAACAATAATAAGTTTTAATAACTCGTACACAACGAGACCACAGACTACCGCCCAACGGGGTTCACAGACTGGTATACTGTAGACTGATACTCGCTCCCACCTCGATTACTCGATTACTCGATTACTCGTAGCCTCCTAAGCCGAGAGGTGGGATCGGGTACCAGTCTATGGTGAAATGAGTCCGTCTAATTACCGAAAGGCACCGAAAGGCACCGAAAAGCATACCGAAAGGCACACCAAAAGGCACCGAAAGGCACCTAAAAAACACCGAAAGGCGCTATGAGAACATTGAATTCCACCGGAAGAAACAGTCCGGAGCGGAAATGTCAAAAAAAATTCCACCGAAATGCCCTAAAAATGACTGAACTCGGCCCGAAATGAGGTACACAAACAATTAATTCGGCGCCAATGTTTACATGCCACAGCGCCATCTCTTGGATGTTTTATAAGTAAATATGGGGATTTTTAATAAAATAATGCGTTTTTAATGTATTTACCACGATTTACGTATAGAAACTATATGTTATTTTTACTGATTTCTTTGTATCTTTCCTTAAATTTTCATTGTTTTTCAGTGCCTTTCGGTAGATTTTTCTGCGTTTCTGTGCCTTTTGGTAATTTGCTGTAATCCTATAAACACTAAAAGGCGCAAAAGGCAGCTAGGGTAAAAAATTCCGAAAGGCCTCTTACACACCAAAAATTAATACACCGAAAGACACTGAAAAATATAAGTAACACCGAAGTCCATTCCAAAGGCATCAATAAAGAACACTGAATGCCACAATGAGGCAAAAAAAACTCCCACCGAAATGCGCGAAAATGATAGAAAATTATTTACAGCTCTTGCTCTCTAGCTCCGAGTTAAATCGCCTCGGTGCAAACAACAGTTAATAAATTCTAGTTATGTGTGTTCCTCTCCTGCGTGTACTTCACATAGTCGCCTGCCATCATTATGACGCGGTTCCGTTGACTACTGGTTTTGCGCGGCTCTATCGTGTGCAAACACACAGTGGTGTGGGGGAGGATTATGTTATAATACACGATAACATCGGCATGCTTACGTCATGCATCAATAAAATTAGACTGAAATCTGCATTCACATATCTAAAGCTTATAAAGACTAATAACGCTTGAAGTCTGATTGTTAGACACTTAACATTCATCTTCAATGATACCTCGATTGCCAGCTGACGTCACGCGCGTTCATATCAGGTAGCTGAAAACTGATGATATGCGGAGTTCTATCGCGACGATTGATATCTCACTAGCTTGATGCAGACAGTTTGGCGTCATCTCCAGTCTATATGATAACTCACAATTTAGTGCTGCGCGCTCTCTCTCTCTCTCTCTCTCTCTCTCTCTCTCTCTCTCTCTCTCTCTCTCTCTCTCTCTC